GAGTCCAGCAACCCCAACTACCACACCATGCTGGCTCAGTTTTCTCTTTTTTTTTTTTTTTGAAAAAAAAAAACAAAAAAACAAAAAAAACAAAAAAACCTTATTTCTGTTACGGTTGCCTAGGCTGGCCCTGACCTCGTGATCCTCCAGAGTCACCCTCCTGAGTGCCTGTGATTACAGGAATGTAGCACCTTGCCTGGAGTTACATTTTTGTTTTTAAGAATTATTTAACTTTATTATTTATTTTACTTTATCAGAAAGATGAGAGAGAAAGAGAGAGAGAGAGAGAGAGAGAGAGAGAGAGAGAGAGAAAGTGAAAAAGCAAGCCTCTAGGTCTGAGATTCAAACTGTGGTTGTCCGTGTGAGAATCTAGCATCTTTAACCACCACGCCACCATGCCACCTGCCAGCCCTTGGAGGCACCTGTTTTTAAAAAGGGGGAAAACTGGGACCAGCAGATGGCATAATGGTTACGTCACTGGACTTGCACGCAGTTGACCGTGGTTCAAGTCTCGGACCAAACGGCTTAAAACTCTGGCTGGGTGTGTGTGCATACGTGCCCAAGATCTCCAGAGGAGAAAGGAGAAGGGATTTCCGGCATGGCCATCCCTCTGGGGGTGATTTCTCACTCTCTGCCTTTCTGTCTCTGTCTCTCTGGCAAGCATATGTGTCCTATAGTGAAAATCTCTCTAAAAATGGGGGGCAAGGAAGCTATATTACATATGGAATAATAATAATAACAGCTGATCTTTTCTCAGAAACAACGAAGCTAAGAAGAATGTAGGATGATATCCTTAAATGTTGAATTGAAACACAGCTTTTATACCAGAATTCAATGCCTACCAAAAATCTCTCTCAAAAAATGAAGATAAAATTAAGAAATTTCGTGGGGACAGCAGGTAGTGTGGTGGTTGAGGTTCTGGACTCCCACATGGCCAACCGTGGTTCAGGTCACAGACCTGGCAGCTTGCTCTCTCACTTTCCCTCGCTCTCTTGCATGCACACCTGTAGCAAATTAAGGAATGATGATAATGATAAATGAAAGTAATTAATTATTTTTAAAAATTATGTATTGCGGGAACCAGCAGTTAGCGTAACGGCTATGTCGCTGGACTCCCACGTAGTCGACCGCGGTTCGTGTCCCGGACCTGGTGGCTTAAAACTCACGCTGGGCGCGTGTGCGTGTGTGCCCAAGATCCCGAGAGGAGAATGGAGGAGAAGGGACTGCGGCGTGACCATTCCCCCTGGGGGGTGATTTCTCACTTTCTATCTCTATGTCTCTCTCTGTCTGTCTGGCGAGTGCACGCGCCCTATAGCGAAAACCTCTCAAAAAAAATTATGTATTGCAGGGTAAATAAGAGATGGGAAAATTTGTCACCAGTAGACTTGTGGCAAGAAATGATAAAGAGAAGACCAGGTGAAAATCTTAGTAGACAATGCTAAATTTTTGTTTGGTTTTGTGTTTTGGTGGAGATGGTGGGGAGAATATATTTGATTTTTGCTCTCAACGTTGATACATATTACACATATCTTAAAGAAGCTAAAAGAGAATAATCTTTTATAGTAATGCAGATATTTGCTATATCAGTTGCTCTTCACGCCTGAATACCCAAGTTTTCTTCTGGTTATCAAGAACTTCTTTTTTAAAACATTACTTATTTATTATTATTAAATTTTTTTTCCCATAGGACACCTGTGCTCACCAGAGAGAGAGACAGAGACAGAAAGACAAAGTGAGAAAGCAAGCTGCCAAGTCCAGGACTCAAACCGTGGTCAACCATGTGGGAGTTCAGTGCCTTAACCACCACACCATCTGCTGGCCCCCAGAACGTTTTAAATAACTTATTTAAAGCACATTTCCATTAAGTTCTCTTACTTTTTCCTTCATGTAAAAAAGTCTTAATATTGTTTTCACTCCTGAAGGATACTTTTGCAAGATGCAGGCTTCTGAGTTGACAAAGGAATATTTTCTTCTCATTAATTTCAAGTGTGTTTTCCTTAATCACAAGGAATATTGTTAAAATAGGGGCTTTAAAATCTTTGTCTCAGAAAGACATCATCTGGGATTTCTTGAGGTGGGCATTGGTATCTTCCACTGTGATTTGGTGACATTTTGCCAGTTGCCTGTGTGTTGATAGGTTTTCGATAGTATTCTGGAGGTTGTGAAAGTTATGTTGTATATACTCTGGGTTCTGTTAGAATCCTCTTGAGAATGTCAATGTTTCTGTTCGTGTAGGACATGCACCTCGGTAAGGTCGGACTGCAAATTCTGTCTCACCTTCTGTGTGTGAGGGGCTTCGTCTTAGTTCAGTTCACACAGCCTTCATCGTGCTGACTTGGGCCCGTCCCACATGTACGTAGCTCAGGGTGAAACGAAGACTTGTATGGTTTGTATGGAGAATTAGAAGATCCCTTCTCTAGCTCTCCCCACTCTGAGATACTCAGACCTTTCCAGGCCCTATAAGAATCCTTTTGTGGTTCCTACCCCAAAATACTGGAGTTTCAACGAGAGTTTTAGTCGCTTACTGTGCTGCTTTGTGACGAGGTTCAACCTGGGGCAGGTTCGTGAGAGACAGAAAATAGACCTGGTAGTTGCTACTTCAACAGTTTCTCCCCTCTGCAATCTGCTTCCTTCTATTTACTTTTCAGTCTTTAAGTAATTGTACTTTGATTTTATCCAGACTTTCTTTTTTTTTTTTTTTTTAGGTTTTTGCTGTAGAACATGTCCACTCACGAGAGAGAGAGAGAGAGAGAGAGAGAGAGAGAGACTGAGGGAGGAAAAGTAAGAAATCCCCCCCTGGGGAATGGCCACCACGTTGCAATTCCTTCTCCTCCATTATCCTTTTGGGATTGCACACACCTGGTGTGATTTTCAAGCCGCCCGGTCTGAAACTTGAACCATGGTCAGCTATGTGGCACCTTAGTCACCATGCCACCTGCTGGGCCCCCGAGTTTTTCATGCTGATCAGTGGGCAGGATATCTGTAGTGGCTGGGGGGGGAACAGCAACTACAGTGAAACTGGACCTCCTACGCTTTTCAGAATTTCTCTCTTTCAATTAAAATTCATCATCTCTTCACCCATTTTATCTATTTTTCTCCGTAAGTTAAAAAACTTAACATAGTTATCTTAAAGACTTTATAGTCTAGCTCCAAAATCTGGGTTTATTCTGAACTATGTCTGTGTACTGAACTCTCTCAACTCTGGGTCACCTTTAAGCTTCTCCATGTTTCTAGCAAGTTAGCATCGTACACTGGACATTCTGGGTATGTTACAGGAACTTCATAGGGAGAGCCATGTAAACCGAATCTCGTTTTATCAAGATTCAAATTGCTTTCAGTTCCCTTCTTTTTTTTGGGGGGGGGGCTAAAGGGAGGGAGTGCTTGCCAGAGGGAGAGTGAGCACACTTCAGTGGGATGTGGGCATGGTGTAACCCCTTCCATTTCTCCATCCCTTCTGGATTTTGGGCACACACACATGTGCCAGTGTGTTTTTCAAGAAACCAGGCCCTAATTCAAACATGAGCCATTCATGTGGGATCCAGGTCTCTACACACACAGGGCTCAGCCAATGAGCTCCTGGCCGGTCCAAATTCTGTTTAATAGTCATTAATTTACATTTAAATAGCCACATGTAGCGACCATATGAAACAGCAAAGCTCTGGAACAAAAGCGAGAGGTGGATTTGTTCTCTATTGTGTAAGCTATTCGTGCTATACTCCTTTTCTTATTTATTTATTTCATTTATTTTTTAGAGAGATTTTTGCTATAGGGCATGTGTGCTCACCAGAGACACAGAGGCAGAAAGTGAGAAACCATCCCCTGGGGGATGGCCACAGTGCAATCCCTTCTCCTCCAACCTCCTTTCAGGGTTTTGGGCACACATGCTCACACACCCAGCGTGAGTTCCAAGTCACTGGGTCTAGGACTGAAACGGCGGTTAACTACACGGGAGTCCAGCAACGCAACCGTGACGCTACGCGCGGGCCCTGCTCTTTATGTTTTAAACTTCCAAACCTTTTATTTACAGTTTTAAAATTTACATGTAATCACTGTATATCTTTACAATCTACAATATGGTTTTTCGCAGCATGTATACAGTATGTATTATCAAGTCAAAGACATGACCACAGACATTATCATGTGTCTATTAAATACGTTGTTTTTCCCCTTGATCCCCTCCCTCTCGCTCTGCATTCCCCACCCCTTCCTGTACTGTCTCTGGGATCCACAGTTACCCTCTCTGCTGTTGCACCTTCCAGTCTGACAGTTTCTGGTATAAAGTGTAGACATTTGGAATATGTTAAGCATGGGCAGATAACGCCTGTCTTTCATAGTCTGGCTTAGTTCACTTGGCATTCAATCTTCCATAGTGCTATACTCTTTTCAAAATTTTATTTATTACTATTTTTTAATTTTGACCAGAGAGAGACATAGAAAATTGAGAAAGTGGGCTGCCAGGCCCGGGACTCAAACTGTGGTTATCCATGTGGGAGTCCAGCACCTAAACCCCGTACCTCTTCCAAGAGTGCTATACTATTCTTTTAAAAGACTAATTTAATTTTATTCATCAATATTTTTTATTTGGACCAGAGAGAGGCAGAGAGAAAGGTTAGGTGAGAAAGCAAGCTGCCAAATCCAGGATTTGAACCATAGCTAGCCATGTGTGAGCCCAGAGCCTTAACCACCATGCCATTTGCGAGCCCCACAGAGCTATACGCTTAAGGCCAACAAGTAAATTTATCTTCTTTTCTGCAGTTTGAGACTCTGGCCCCTCATGCCTTCTCCCAAACATATCTTTTTTTCCCTCAGTATGTATTTGGATACTAAGGTATCCCCCAAATCCAATTACTACTCTGTACTAGATACCAACAGATTGGGAAGTTTCCACACGGAGAATGTTCTGTTACCTGTGTTTGCCCGAAGGACAATATTCCACCCCCTTGTCTCCGAAATGAAAAGACAGGGCTGAGCAGGAGGAGGCGCTCCCCCACCGGCCCTACCTGGCGTTCTCGGCTCTCCGGCTCACGCACTGATGCAAGTATAGGTACTCCTGCGGTGCACTGGTGGACAGGGCAGGCTGCACGTGGTTGGGCACGGGGGCTTCGAACGTGAACAGGGTGGGCTGGCTGGAGTGCGACGGGGCTGAGGATTTCCGTTCTCGGAGGAGGTGTTGACTGGAGCTGCTGAGCTCGGCTGGGGACGAGCGAGGGCCGTGGGTGGCCGCAGAAAGGTTCCTCAGGGAGTCTGTGGACAAGAGAGGGCTCTGAGAGCGAGGTACGGAGGGGAGTGACTGTGTCCTTAGTGGCTATCGGTGGCAGAGAAGACACTGGGCAGTCGGTGGCCTGCAGGGACTTCCCTTGCTCTTACCCACCTGTTCTGTCCCCCCTGGGGAGCAGGGAGGGGGCCTCAAGGCTATTTTGGTTGAGGAAGAACTGCTCTGACCTTCGCACTGTAGGGGAAGCATCTTGGAGGCTACTTGTGGGGGGCGCTATGTCTACTCCCCTTCTGGGAGCTGAGCTCTCAGCCTTTGTACCGCTGGGGAGTAGCCTGGAGGCCTCTTCTTACCATCCCCTGGGGGCCATGGTTGCTCCCCTTCCAGGAGCTGGGCGACCTGCGATCCAGAGCTGCAACCCTGGCCTGGGCAGCTGAGCTACCTGCGGCCCAGCCTCTGGAGCCATGAGTCCCACTCTGTCTCCCTCTTAGGGGCTCCTGCTGTCACTTCCCTCGTCAAAGCTGAGGCTGGCATTGGGAGATGAGACTCTGCTCACTGGTCTCGAGAACAGAGGCCCAGGACCGAGCCCTTCTGCACTGATGAGAAAAGCACAAATGTACTTGGAGCCGTAGCCGTAGGCGAACACCCCAGACTCCCACTGCCCTCCCAGTCGTCCTAGACAGCCACGCTCCCCAGCTCCACCCTCTCTGCCTATTGGCCTTTTCCTCTCTTAACTCTTATCTCATACTCTGCTCTGTTGTGTTAGAAAGGAAGTGAGGTATTAGGACAGATAATAGTAGAGAGAGCCACACCCACCCAAGGCCATTGCTTGGGCTGGCTCGCTCAGCTTACTAGGAATTCCTTAGCAGAGCAGATGAAGCCCTCAGTCTGACCCATTTCCTCCTCTCCTCCACCATAAACAAGGCCAGCAGACACAGATGCGTCGTCAGTCCTGACCACACCACACTCTTATGTCGTTTGGGTGTGTGCTGTTCCTTCCACCTCCTCGCTTCTACTCTGCGGGGACCCTCGCTCACAGACTTTGAGGCCCTACACAGATGCCCTGTTCTCCCCGAATCCCTCCTGGCCTCAGTCCTGCCTCTGGGGACCAATGGCTCTGGGACCATGTTGTCAGGTAGGCACGGTCACCCTGCTTCCTTGCCTGGCTCTGGATTTCTGAGAATGGTGACCTCAAGGCTGTAATCTCTACAGCCCCATTTCCCTGAGAAAGGCCAGGGGTACAGGAGGGTCTAGTCTGTGTTCGCAGAATAAGTAAAAACACCCGCCCCTCACTTGGAGATCCCAACACTGACGTTCCTTGATCAAAAGCAGCAAAGGCTTAGACAGGCAATGTTAGGTGATGTAACAGCTGTGGGATAAGGTTTTGGGGGTGGTGATACTCAAATCACATCAGAGCGAACACAGTTCTCGTTCTACTTCCTGAGACCTGACCTCTTTAAAGTGTGCCCTGCTCACGAGAGTCTTTGGCTCATTAACGCACCACAGTCACTAATGACGCTGCACTGGCTTCTGAGGATGGGTGGGACATCATCTGCCAGCTCACTCTCCATTCACGCACTCACCCTCCACTCATGCTGGACTCACTCCACTCACACTCCAATCACACTCGCCCTCCACTCACACCCACACTGCAATCACACTCACCTTCCACTCACACCCACACCCCACTCAGCCCCCCACTCACTCACCCTCCACTCAACACTCCTCACATAACCCTCTCTCCCCTGCTATTATAGTTTGTGTTACAAACCTAACGGGACAGCGGAGACATGGATTCCGTTAACAAATGGCCAGTTAACAGCCCGGGGGGCCTCTGGGAGAGCTGGTTCCACTGACAGCTGCATTAATCCCCCCCCGTGAGGGTGTAATGGTGAGGATGAGTGTATGGGGGGTGACTGTGTGTGAGGGTGAGTGGAGGGTGAGGGTGTGAGTGAAGAGTGAGTGAGTGAAAGCGAAAGCTGAGTGCAGGGTGAGTATGTGTAGCGGGTAAATGTGAGTGGAGGGTGAGAGGGTATGAGTAGAGGGTGTAGGAATGGAGGGTGAGTGAGTATGAGGGTGAGAGTGGAGTCTGAGTGGGTGAGTGGAGTGTTAGTGTGAGTAGAGAGTGTGAGTGGAGCGTGAGGGTGAGTGGAGGATAAGGCAATGCACTTTGGCTCTCTCCTGGGACAGTGTGGGAAAGCTGTACAGGAGGCCCCTGGTGGGAGTCTCTATACTCTGCTGCCCTCCTGGCAACTCATCCCAGGCCCACCCACAGGAAGGCCCAAGCGGAGTCTCTATGCTGCGCCATCCGCCCCTTCTGGCACCTCATCTCATGCCCACCCTTCAGTGGAGATATGCTCGGGTTCCACTCCAGACCCTCCTGCGACCTCTCTCTTCCCCTGGGGTTTTCCCGGGAAGGCTGATCCTCCCTGCAGCTTCAGTCCTGGCCTGTTTACGTGATGCAGGTGCTCGGAGCTTCACCTCCAGCTCTGCTTTCTCTCCTGGGCTCTCCCACCTGCTGGGTACCTCCATTCGGATGTCCCACCAGCAGCTCAGCTCAGAGATCTGAAATGCACTTCTCGTGCACTGGAGGGTGCTCCTGGTCTCAGGGTGCTCATCAACGTCCCCATCCAGTCTGTCCTTTCAGTTGGGAGCCTGGGGCAGCATCCGCGAATTGTCCCTGTTTCTCAACATTTGAGTTATGTCATGATGTCACTGCCCCACATGGTTCCCATGATCCTCAGGTGACTTACAGAGATCTCTCTTTTAATTTACTATATAGGGCACATGTGCTTGAGAGAGAGAGAGAGCGCGCGCAAGCGAGCGCGAGGGGAAGTGAGAAATCACCTCTTAAGGGTGATGGCCATACCACCCCTTCTCCACTCTCCTCTCAGGATCTTGTGGCATGCACACACATGCACTTAGCATATAGCCAGTAGCATGTTTCAGGTAGCAGGGCCTGGGACTCTAACTGTGGAATCAGCCATATGGGAGCCAGTGCCTTAACCACCATGTCACCTGCTGACTCAAACTCTCTCTCTTTATGAAACCATTTGACTGTTCATTGTCTCAGACTTGTTTCTCACTAGCACTTCCTTCTGTTTTTAAAAAGATGAGAGTCAGTGACTGCTCACAAGTGTTTCTTTTTGGGGTGGTAAAAATTCCTAAAACTAGGTGGTGGTGAGAGGTGCATGATTCTCTGTATAGTCACATATCCTGTGACTCCACGAAGCCACTGACTATGCAGATGCCCCCGACCTGTGATAGGCCACGTCCTGATAACCCTGCTGCGGATGGTAGCTCGGCGAGGTGAGGCCCAGTGCAGGCGTATGCACGAAGGTGCTGCCCCACTGTCTGGAACCCCATGGAGACTTGTCTAAAAAAGAAAAAAGCTGCATGCAGTGGTATGCAGTTGCAGTCCCAGCTGGGAGGCTGAGGCAGGAGGATTATGACACGGTAAGACCCTGCCCTAAAAAAAAGGGAGAAAGAAAAAGAAAATGTCATGAGTCAGAAAAGTATTTCTCTAATCTAGAAACCTCTGGCAACACAGAACACGGCAGAGTCTCAGTTGTTTCCCCTCTGGGGTCTGCGTGGCTGACGGAAGCGGTGGATGCCACCTGCCACCTTTGCCCGGTCACACAACGGCCTACCGTACCACACACAGCTAGCCCAGGAAAAGGTCAAAATTCCAAATTTCAGCATGGCTTCTCCTGAACACATCTCGCTTTCCTGCCACCCTAAGCTTGAAAATGGTAAGCTGAACACCCTAAGTCGGAGACCATGTGTATTTTCAATGGGTGAATTTTATGATGGATGAAATGTACTCAGCAAAGCTGAGAATGTATATACACATGCTGTTTGACAGTTCCTTAAAACGTTTTGGGATGATAAACGTGTTTTAATTAGCTTTTAGTAATGGTTGTACAACCTTGTGACTGCACTAAATCATGCTAACTTGATGGTTTAAACGGGCTTACCCTCCCCACACACACACATATGGCACACCCTGTGCTAAGTATAAAGTGTCAAGTATATATAAGAGATTAATAAGTCTAATAAAATATACTTGATCTTTATATTTTATTTCCTCTCTAAGAAAAAACCCGAACACTCAGTAATACGAAGTTCTCATAAAGGGTGTTGCAGTAACACATATTTTCCCTTTCCTCTCGTCAGTTCTCTGTACCTTCCTCCCACCCCACTGTTCAGGACTTTGCCCCATAATTATGTCAAGGCAGTGTGAATGTCAGTTAAAAAAAAAATAGCAATAGTGTATGGTTTAAAGTCAAAAGACCTGGGACCAGCAGATGGCAACAAGGTTACCTTGCTGGACTCGCATGTAATCAAATGCAGTGCGCTTCCCGGACCCAGCAGCTTAAAACTCACGCCAGGTGTGTGTGCATGCATGCCCAAGATACCGAGAGGAGAATGGAGGAGAAGGGATTGTGGTTTGGCCATGAGACTTCTCGCTGTCTCATTCTCTCTTTTGCAAGAGCAAGTGCTCTATAGCAAAAATCGCTCTCTCTCAAAAACGTCAAGAGACCCAGGTGAGCTAAGATTCTCTTTTCAAGTGACAAGGTCAGGAAATCAGGAGTCCAGTTCAGTCCGAGATTACGTACCGGTCTCTTGGAGCTCCAGTTCACGCCAGCCTAGTTGGGAGGATTATCCCTGGCCTGGCTATCTGTCTCACTGGGTGGTTGTAAGGATTGACTGAGATAGGGGTGTGAGAGCAAACCCATGCATAAAACATTAAGAGGATTTGTTTTTATTGCCTGGGTACCCCTTGAGGGAAGAAAAGAATAATACTAATAAAGGGAAACATTAAACAATGTGTGGCTGGGCTGTTCAGAGTACTTGGCAGTCAGGCTGCTGCAGTGATGTGTCTCGGGTCACGAGCAAGGTCAGTTAGACAGCAAGAAGAAAAGGAGGTTTCTGGACTGGCCCGGGCTTCTACCTCCAAGTCTAGACTGAAGATAATGCCTGCGAAGGCCTGAGTCAATTTGTTTTCTTTTAAACAGGGTGTTATTTTTTC